ACATAAGTAAAATTTTGGCATATTAAGCTGTATTATTTCAAGAAAGATAAAATAAACATCTGAAACTCAAAAACAGATCTGTGCAGTGTATGGAGAAGGTACTGTAACTGATCAAACATGTCAGAAGTGGTTTGTGATGTTTTGTGCTGGAGATGTCTCACTGGACAATGGACGCTCCATAGTTGGGTAGGCTAGTTGAAGTTGATAGTGATAAAGTCCAACATTAATTGAGAACAATCAACATTAGACTATGTGGGAGATAGCTGACATGCTCAAACTATCCAAATCAATAAAGTTATTGGTGAAAATAAAAAATGTCTTTTATTTTACAGAAAAAACTAAGTGGACTTTTTGACCAACCGCATGTATCTCTCTCCCTCTCTGTAGCACGTTATGCAATTAAGTACTTACACATGGATTTGGACAGAGAGATGCACAAATCAGTCTTTCTTAACTGGGGGTTTTCTGGTAAACCAGCTCTCCAGAAATTGAGGACTTGAGAGGGCAGTGACAGAAGCTCTGATTTCTAGACTCTGCCAATCACCCTTTTGTAAATACCCAACACACATGCCTCCAGATTTAAGGTATCAAAGTGATGTTACTGTGAAGTTGGGAAGAGATGTGCCATCAGCTCTGCCCAAGCCCATCTGCATCGGCTCTAGCACACCCTGGACATCTGCAGGCCCATGCCCGCTGCTTCAGAGCTTCCTAGGCCACCTCAGGCCTCTGCTGTGACCTTGTCCCATGTTAACCTCTCCCTCCCCTTCTTTCTTCTCCTCTCAGCACAGATGTTGCTTCTGAGAACATGCTCCCATAAGCTTCCTGCATTTGCATCTCAGTCTCCAAGTCAGTTTCCCACAGACCTGACCTATGACAAGGAGAAATGGAAAGTTAAGCTTATTGTTATTGACACTTAAGAGAGGGAAAACCTTCAGTTCTCTCTACTAAATCCATTAACTAATTAGATCAACTTTTACTTCAGTCCAGTTTCCTAGTGAATCACAGAACTCATCATGATAAATTAATAAATAGACAGCTCAGTGGTGCTTCCCATTTTGTTCTGTCAGTCTTCATTTCAAGTCTTTGGTCACAGACAGATCACACAAAAACTGGGTCAAACGTGGCCAGGTGCTGACATTTGAGATTCACAGTGCAAACGTCTTCGTTCTCACAAAGAGGGTTACTGCAAAACTAGGAAGATGAAATCACATGTTCAAATATGATTACTACCCTTCCTATTTGTCCTATTCTGTCATCAAAATACTTCATAGCTAACTCTGGTGTGGAGGAACACTAAATGATTGGATTCCTTACACATAAATGACACTGGCAACATTCCTTTATGCTACATGAAGCCAAAACTAAGAGAAGATATTAACGAGATGTAATCAGATAGGGTACTAGAATAGCTATAATTTTTAGGCCTGGTAAAATCATAACTTAGATAAAAATGTGGATGACAAATTTAGAGTGTAGGCTATTTCCCCAGAAAAACATCACAATTTATATATAGACAATTTTCAATTATCGCCCAGGAAAAAAATAGAAATATATGGCAATTATCCAAAATAGAGGCTAGTGAACAAATTCATTTCTATTTGGTTTTAAAATATTGTTATGTATTCTGAAACCAACACTTGAATATGAATGCATTTTGTATTCTGGAAACAATGTATTCATTGTATTTGCAATGCTTCTAACAAATACTGAAATTATACTTTAGAATCAGACTAAAGAAAGTGACTTGTGTTTTTTTATCTTTTCTTGTATAATATGTTCCTGCTGTCTATATTATTGCTGAGAATAGGTATCATTAACTAATGTTAAGTTCATTCTAAAGCAAGAAAAATTTGTATCTCTATGGTTTCTAGTTTATATTTTCCCAGCACTGATGATAATTAAATATTTTTGTTGAAAGGACACTCTCCTTCCCTGCTCTTAGTTGGTTAAAGTCAATTAAAAAATATTTTGTGTTGCAAACATTAAATAAAATGAGTGGTCAAGGTAAGGTGTTATGTCTAAGTAAGATTCAAGATGTTTAAATTGAAATATCTGCCCATGGAAAGTTGAGTTGGCTCTATATACACTTCCAAGTGTATTTTGCCCTGGTTTGGCTATTTTTCCTTCAGTAAGTGCTAATCTGCATAATATGTATGTCATAGCACCTGGCATAGGGCCTGGCTCCTGTTAGTGGCCAGTACCTGTGTAGTTCCTTCCTTACTTTTTCTCTTTCTTTTCTTCATTCAATAGTTGTACATAAGATGCTTCATAGGTTTTAATAAATGTTTATATTTTATTCCACTCTTTCTTTGCATAGAAAATTATATGAAGCCAAACACTTTTTTAAAGAAAAAATATCCCTGGTGTTATTCTCCCAATGTCAATGTTCACTACATGTTTTAATTCTAAAAGCTACCACCATGGAAATTGATTAATCAGTATTAAGGAAATAATTTATTAAGTGCCATAGCATCTGAAAGGGTCAGAATGGGGGCTTATGCAGACTGAAAATTGACCACATGCTCTCCTGTCTTACTTTTAGCCATATGGCACATTCCCATTCTGGAACAGTACAGTTTTGCATGAAGCAGAAGATTTCCAAGCATGCAGTCATTTTGACTGTTTGCTTTGGGAATCCTTTGCTTTGGTGTTTAACTTCATAAGTATTTGTTGTTTGACCAAAGTTGATTTTTATCTCCATTGAAAGATCTAAATAGTCTTCAGTTGAACACTGACAAGGCCCTGGAGAGGTAGGTTAAACAGATGGCTCAGTTGTATAGACCTAGGTTCAAACACAGGGTTCACTACCTACCAGGGTGACATTAGATAAGAAGACTTTATCTCCTATAAGCCAGGCAGTGAAAGACAAATACCATATAATCTCATCTTTAACAGGAACCTAAACAACAAAACAAGGAAACAAGCAAAATATAACCAAAGACACTGAAATAGAAAACAGGCTGACAGTGTTCAGAGGGAAGAAGGGAGGGAATTTCAGGGGAATTTTAGTGGAAAAGGGGAAGGGTTTACAGGAGCAAGTATAAAGGACACATGGATAAAAAACTAGGGATGGGTATAAATGCGAGGAAGGAGGGGAGGGCTGGGTGGTGGGCTGGGATGAGAGTAAAAGATAAAAAATTGTACTTTAACAACAATTAAAATAAAAATTAAAAAAAAGACTTTATCTCCTGCCCAAGGTCATTATTTTCTCATTATTGAAGCAAAGTAATATGTAAAATGAAGAGAATTATAGTGATGATTACAGGTAATAACTATAAGAAAATAACTATAAGTAAAGTATAATTAGTTATTATAGGTAATAACTATAAGTAAATACATAAATTAGTTTTGGCATTTGTTACAGATACTAGCAAATATGTACTGAGTGCCTGCCTTGCACAAATACCATTCTAAGCATTTCTGTGTAACAGAACTCTACAGTTCAGGAACTATTGCCATCACTATTTTACACTTGAAATCTAAAAAGCTTAAGTCACAGTAAGCAGCTGAGTCAATGTGTCAAGACATTTCATATACTTAACCATCACACAATGCCACCTTCATATAAACAGAGAAGCATTTTGGCAGAAACCAGAACCAGAAAATGGATCCAGTGGGTCCTACTCACGCCTCAGCCCAGCCCTCTCACTGCAGCTCTTCACATCTGGCCACACTGCTCAAACACCGTCCCGAACAAATGCCTGTAGTCAGCGTATTATTTCCTATGAGGAACCATCACATCCCTCAGTCACTCAGCTTCCCATCATACAAATGGTGAGAACAGAAAATTACCATATTTTGCTGTGTATAATGCATACGTTTTTGCCCAAATTTTTGAGGGAAAAATAAGGGTGCACACTATATATGGGTGCTGATTTTGTACTGATTTTGTATCTATATAAATGTTTTTAACTCTTTTATCTATGCTTATGAGTTAAAAGTATAACTCTAGAAAGCAATAATGATATCTGTATGCAAAATAATACCCTGGAATACAATAATCAGTTTTGTTTCTAAATGTAAATAAATAAAAAAATGAATTAAAGTATTAAAATGTAAGATATTTTTCCTGAAAGTTTAGGTCCAAAACATGGATGTGCATTATACTTGGGAGTGTGTTATACACAGCAAAATACAGTATACTTTCCATTAGGAAGATCTACATAAATACAGCTTGACACCCAAGGATCAGTTGAACTGAAGGCAGCTTCTGGTTGGCTTCTCATCTGTTATTTCAACAGGTCTGATCAGATTCAGCCAGTCTGAGAGTGGTCATAAGGGAAAGTGAAGGTCTTAAGTTAAAGGGAAGACCCTCATGCCTAAAAACCCCAGCTCTGCCACAAATGTACTGTGTGTTTGCCCAAGTGGCTTCAGCCCTCTGGACTCCTTCTCATCATTAGGAAATGAAAGATGTTGCCCTAGAACCTAGGTAAAAGCTGGCTACCTATGAGCTAATCCTGACCCTCACAGGTAGGCTTTCACTTTAGCCTTGTTTGACCCACACGACGTTTTGTTTTGTTTCATTGAATTCTAAATGTGAATTCAAGAAATTTCTCATAGAAATCTATATTCCTGTTTTCCCTTGAAAATCTGCAGGAGTAGCATTATCAAGCTTGTTTTTCCTTATCGCATCAAGGAAAGCCATCAGCTAGACATGAGCAGGCTGCCCCCTGCAGGTGAGACATGAGCTCACCGGCTCACCACAGCCCTACTGCGCCCTGTGGTCTCACACCCAGTCTGCTCCCTCATTCACCCTGCTTGCCCCGTCTTGTAGGCATTTGGGTTTGCGATTCTAGGACCAGCTTCGGCCTTCATGTCTTCAGTTATTCGTTCTCTTTTTCATTTGATCAACCCATAGTTAGTGCTCACCCACGTGCCATTCTGTGTTCTGTTTTAATACGTCTGTTTTTTTAAGTGACCAAGTTTTGTCTTGATTTCTCAGAGCCTGATTAATTTTCATTTTTTTTGTAAAGTTTTCTCTTTTCTTGTTACCCCAACAGAATTCTGCAGTTTTTAAGCAGCAGCTTCACCTGGCACGAGCCATTGCAATCCTCCTCATCACCGACTGAGGCCATGCTTTGGGCCCTGCACCTGTGGTGAGAAGAATATAGCAAGCCCGGCCCAACAGGTAGGAGGAGAACACACTGTTCCGAATGCAGGCCATCACTGTGGGGAAATAACAGCAACTCTATAAAATCAGAAGTCATCATCTAAGGACTAATAGAAAGAAAAGTTTAATTTTTTTATTTTATTAATGTTTACCTCCTACAATATATAAAAACACCCTTGACATAAAAAGCCATGTTCCTGAATGAGATAGGAGAAAGAATATAATAGCTAAAAAAAAGTCCTTTTTTAAAATTCATGTTTACTACCTAAGAAACCTTTTGCTGATTTTAGTGGTAGCCACTTTTAAGATAAAATATTAGAGAACTAAAGACATGCCTTAGGTGACCTGAGAGAACAGCTACTTAAATATCCATTTCTCCAAGGCCATAGCTAATTGATTTTTGAAACTTCTTTGCTGAAATAACCTTGTCTCAAGGGCAATTATACTTCAATTATTTCTTATTTTGCTTGGAAAGTATTGTGTAAAAATGACGGTACAGTTATAAGGGAGTATCTAAAATAACAACTAATCATTCAAATGTTTTTATTTGAAGTGATTTTAAAAAGCAAAAGAAATTCTCAAAATGTTCCTTTATACACTCACTATTTGCCCTAAATAGCCTGATAAGTTTGTGAAAATGATTGGCATCTCCCTGTGGGGGACTGGGGGAAAGGAGCCCCACGCTGGCAGGAGAGACTGAATCCTACTTTTATCCTTCCCACCATCACCTCTGTGATTTGGGCCAGTAATTTAATCTCTCTAAACTGTGTTTTTGGCCCATAAAAAGGACAGTTATATCAGAGTGACTTCCAAATTCCAGGCTCAGTTTGACAATAAAGTACATCTGTTAGTGGAGGGTGAGAGGGTAGCTCTGAGCAAATTCCTCCAAGCAAAGTTGCCAAAAGTAAATTCAAGACAATGCCAATGCACCAAATTTCTTTATTCTTTTCATTATTTACAAAGTGCACAGCAATTTGCACTGGAAGTGTTGGTTTTCACTGCCTTTGGAGATTTCTGTAAGATTTTAGTTGAGAGTTTCCCAATTTGTTTTGAAACAGGATTTGAAGGAATGCCCAGTTTGTCTCTGCTTTAGCCCCTGCTATTGTGTAGAGAGAGGATCTTCAGATAGGAAGCCGTGGAGAGCTCATAGCTGTGTGAGCACACAGCCCGAAAGGACTTAGGCTGAGAGACATGAGATTATCGCCATAAGGATTCTCCAAAATCAGGACAGATATACTCAGCATTTAAATGCATTAGTCAGATGGACCAGTTTTGATAACTCTCATAGAATTAGTGTGCTGATATGGTCTTTCCTCTTATGGACCTTGGAGTTCAACAGTGGAAAAAGACTGAAAACAAAACATTAATTATTAAGTGAATAATGCAATTATGAATCGTGATAAGCACTATGAAAAATACAAAAGGGGCACTAAGGCAGTGAAAAGCTAGAAACTGCTTCGGAAAGTTTGGTCCGGAGAGGGGTAAGAGTCAAGAGAACTGTTTCTACTCCCTTCCCTTTCCAGGTACACAGTAAGATTGCATTGCCGTGGCCTCCCTCAGATTTCAGAGGACCATGGGATTGGGTCTGGCCAATGTGTTGTGCTTAGAAATGACATGTATCATTTCTGGAGCATTTAATTTTGTTGCTCCAGCTCCCTGTGGCATTCTGACTGGTAGTGTGGTCCAAGATGTGGTTACTCCCTCAGCCTGGAACTTATTTGGTTTCAAAGAACAGAGACCCCCTCAGCCAACCCACCCTGAACGTGTAGCTTTAGAATACAACAGACTTTAATTGCCTTAAGCCACTGAGATATGGAAGCTATTTGTTAATGCAGCTTAATGGAGACAATCCTGACTATTATAAGAGGCATCTCTGAAGAGGCAGAAGGATGATTTATAGAGGCTTTAAGAGAAGAGGCTTTGAGCTTGGCTGGTTCACAGAACTGAAAGAAGGCCAATACAGCTAGATTATAGTAAATCAGGGAAAAGCAGCAAATAATCTTTAGAGTTCCTTCTATCCTCTTAATTCTTTCCAGTTCTGGCTCTGAAGCTGTTCTGATGTTTATATTCCTGGCAGTACTTTAACATAGATTAAGTAGCTTGACTTTAAATATCTTTGATTTGTTTACACAAATCAAACTCTCATATTTTATCTCTTGCTTCTGGATTATGATCATTTATCAAGAACTTTGTATGTGGGCCATTGATATGATAATGTTATCGTAATGCCTTCTCAGGAGCTGAGGTCCCCTGTCCTTTCAGTCAACACTGAGATGCACTTGAGTGTATAGACTATTACAGCTGAGCTGAGGCTTGGGACAAGCAGCAATTTTGCATTTTGCAATTGAATAATATGTAATATTATGCAAATTTTAAGCTCTCACTTTTCATATCAATTTCTAATATTCTGCCAACAGAATCTAGAGAAAAGCCCAAACCTTTATGGGAATCATCATAGCCCTTTTTAATGTATATGTAAGAGAGTTTGTCTTTTGCACTGGAGATCGTGTTTGAAAACAAAACAAAAGCCCCCTAGCCAAAAGCAAATTGTATGAGATGCAATTTATCTTCTTTGGAAGAAAAGAAGAGCTGAATCAGCCCTCCTTGGATTTGACAACTAAGGTATTTCTTTATCCCTGACACTGCTCAGAGAGAGCCACTGATATTATAACTGCCTTTATTAAAATTTGGTAGGCTTAAAGGAAATACATCCATGTGATATTACAGTCATTCTTACAAAGTTCTTAAAGTCTTGAGGACTTTTAGTGAGGTGAATGAAAATTTTTTCAAGAAAAATAATGTAGGAAAAGAAAAGAGAAATGGATCTAAAAAATTTAAATGGGTCTTTACTATAGTTCAGGTTCAGTGCTAAGAGCTTTTGTCACTGGAAAGAGACTGGGCCAAGGCAGGTCTGTCCCAGCATGGTTTAGAATGTGTGGATTCTTGACTTTGTGCAAGAAGGAATTCAAGACATGAGTGCAGGTGATTTTGAGAGTTTAATTATTAAAGGTAGGAACAGTGAAACAGAAGAAAGACTTAGGATAGAAGAAGCAGATCACAGTAGCAGAAGTGAGCCAGGTTGGGGCTGCTTTTGGCTTACTGAAAAGTTAGACATGAGGAGAGCCCTTGGAGCTTAAGAAAAAGAAGCCCCAACTGTGTAAGTTCATGCCTGAGCGAAGAGAGGTGTGGGCTTGTTCAAGGGAGAGTGGGCATTGGGTCCTTTGTCTTAAGCGTTTTTATCCATTTTCTAAAGGCAGGGATTTTAGAGGCAGTCTCAGAGGAGCATCTCAACAGAATATTCATCAGCTTTCCAGGTGTGTTCTTCATGGTGCTGATGCATCAACATGAGCATCTTTGTCTAGTCAGTCTCACCTCTGTCTTGGATTTGTCTGGCTCTAATTGTGTTTTTTGTGATTGGGTCTGCTTGGCACTAGCGGCCCTTTCATATGTATTGTAATCCCCATAGAGTGGAGAAAGCAGCCCATAAAGGTTATGATTACCCAGTCAATGAGTAGCAGACCAAGGAAGGGACAGAGGTCTTCTCCCTCCAAAGACCCTGCTCTTTCCTGCATGCCACTTAGACTAGAGTATAAAAGTTTGCCTATAACCTCCCCACAGTCAAATCCAAAATGGCCAAGCCTTACATTTCCAGAATCTCCAGAGTTGTCCATCAAAAGATAAATACTAGATCACTCTTGATTTATTACATATCTAGATTCAGAAGAGCTTCTAAACAGATCTGGTTGTACGAAAATAAGCTGTGCTTTGCTAATTATGCATCTTCCCTTTGTTCAGCCTCATCCTGTATAATTAGCACAGTCTCAAAAATAGAAGTTTTCCATGACATTAAAATTCTTACACAGCATACCCTCTAATTATTTCATATCTTCACATTAGGGACTAAGACACTCATGGTGGAGGGAGTAATTCTGTTTGTTATTTAATTACTTATAGAAGGAATTCAGAAAAAGAAATTATGAAAATAATTTCAACTTGATGCTGAGATGCGTACACATAGACCAAGGCACAAGCATGCATCCTTTCTCACATCCTTACTCCTGCCCAACTTCAGACCTCACCATTTTTGACACTGGTCTCAGTTATGCCTGTTAGGGTCTGTTTCTATGAAGGACTCACCTGTTCTTCAAGACTCACTAAAAATCCTCTCCTCTATAGGCCTTTCCAATGCCCACCATTAAAATGCCCACCAATTTCCAATGCCCACCATGGAGTATCTTCCCATACTCCAGGGTACTTAATGCTAATCTTAAAGCATCTCTCTGCTTTGTATTATAGGGATGGGAGGTAGGCAGAGATGGTGGGTGACTTGCTCAAATATGTTTTCTCTCTTTTCTTCCTGGGCATATAATTAGGCAGCATTTACTTGCCTTCCCTAGAGCCAGGTGTGACCACATGATGAATTTCTAACAATGGAGTAGGAGTGGACGTGACATGTTCTATTTGGGGCCAGGATTTTTAGGAAGTAGGCATGCCTTTTCTGTGCTGGATCTCCTTGCTGCTGCCTGGGTGAGAGAACTCAGGTTCTTTGGGATGAAGGGAGCCCGGGCTCCTGGCTCACCAGGTGAAAGCTGTCTGGCGGAGCAAGAACACTCCCTGTAGGTTGTTACACAAATAAGAAATAACTGCTTTTTGTTCAACTTGGAAATTTAGGGTTTATTGATTACAGCTGCTTGTGTGGACTTACCTAACACACATGTGTGTAAGTGTGTGTCTGTGTGAGTGGGACTCCTATTTTAGAAGCCTCAGAAGAACTGGTACAAAAAAAATTATCCTTCACTGTGAGCAAAATTAAACTAAATTGCTGCCTCATTCAGAAATGAAGCAGATGGTCATCAAAACATAGAGTGGAGGGTACTCTAAACATCTCTAGTGTTGGGAATGCCATTTTCTCATTTGCAAGTAACTGTCTAGAATTTGTAAATAATCTCATAGACGACTAATTTAGAGTAGAGAATGAGAGGGCTACCCAGTTAGTATCAATATTGAAATGTGTTCTA